TTGTTGAGGACGCCCCTCGCCTCGGTAGCAACGAAAGTAGACCGTGCATCGATCCCGCCGTTGGCGGCGTGTGCTGCCCGGCCCTCGGTCCCCGGCGGCCTGCCGGAGGACGTCGGAAAGGCGCCGCCCCCCGGGAGCGGCGGCGGCGGTGGCGGCGGCGGCGCCCCGTCCGCTACGGTAACCGCGTCAGGGACTGCTGCGGCAGCTGTAGAGAACGGTGATGAGGGCACGACGCCGGCCTGAACGTGCTCCTCGATGATGATGGCGTGCCCGAACGGGGCGTCCACCCCGCCGCTGTCGCCGGCACCGGAGGCCACGCTCGCACCGACGTCCGCATTGTTTCTGAAGCTTTCGTAGGCAGGGGGCGCGACGGCGGCGGTGGCGGCTGGTGCCCCGTCGCCCCGTCGCGGCGCTCCTGCTCCTGCTGGCTCCCCGTTGTTGGTTGCCGGCCGGAGGTGGTGGTGGGACCGAGCAGCGGCAGCGGTGCCGGTCTTCTTGATATAACCCTCATCGAGGATAGCTTCCGCCATCGCTTTCGCTACGCTACGCCCGTTCTTGGGAGGGGTCCCTCCTCCTCCTGCTCCTCCTAAGCCCCCGCCCGCCACCTCGGTGACGGCTCCCTGCAGCGACGCGTCTTCGAGGTCGTCGGCGACGACATCGAAGCTGCTTGGTATTGCCGATTCGCCGCCGCTGCCGCTGCTGCCGCCACAACAGTCACGGGCCCCAGACTCATGTCCACTCGATTCCAGGAGCCTTGGGGTCGCGTCCCCTGCTGCGGGGAGCTGCGGCCCTCCGTCCGAGGTACTGGCGGCGTCCGTCGCTGGAAGGGGGAGTCCCGGCGCTGTTGCCGGTGGTGGTGTTGGAGTTGTTGTTCCCGCTGGTCGGGGTCGTCCCTTCGTTGTTGCCGCTAGAGCTATTGGTATGTTACCCTCCGGGCCCGAGATATCAACTCCCTGGGGTTGAACACTCCCGTCTCGCACTCGGATCGCCTCGGCCATGGTCCGCCCGCCCCAGGCCCGCCAGCAATCCTAACCTTAGGAGTGGGGCTAGCCCTGGCCCCCAAAGCACCAGCGAGGATCTCGTTTTGCGGCTCTGCCTTTCGTCACTCGAGAGCTCTCCGCTGTTCTTTCTAACAGCAGGTTCCTGCCGGTGTGTTGCTTGTTGTATTTTTTCGGCAGAAAAAAGCCTCCTCTCCTGCTTGCACCTCTTATATGCAGCAATCTTTCCTTGCTCCACGGCAGCAAGCGTGCAGCCTTTGTGTTCGAAGGCCGGCCACTTCGAATCGGGCCACGGGTATCGCAACACCCCTTGAGTAGAACCGGACCCAGAGCGCCACCCCGCGGCAAATTTGGTTGAGGTGCTGGGTTGCCTTCCAGTTGGTTGAGTTCTCCGTTTGCACTCGACTGTCGGAAGGTATGTACCTTCGATTTTTTTCCATCATGCGTCGCCTCTTCCGACTCTCCCGCGGTTGGGTGCCTCCCTCGCTGCTGTGAGTACCTCTGCTACTACTGCTGTAGATCGACAGCGACGAAGACCGAGAGAGGGAGGCGTTGAGGATTTGTCTGTGCTGGGAGACGGTGAGCAAGCGTGTGCCCGATCATTCGTAAATCCTAGAGCTGTCGTAGTCGGCGCGGTTGAACCCTCCCTGCTCTGTCTGTCCACACCGCAGCCGTTTCGACCGACCCAGCTCTCGACCGAGCCTCCTTTCCCTTGTTGCCCCTCTCTCTCGGCCTGCTGTTAGGGATCACCACACGAGGGATAAACCCGCCGCCATGGACCCTTTCGACCCTGACGCAATCATCCACGTGCTCTCGAGATGCGAGGCTTGCCAAATGGGACAGGTGTGTGTTGTTGTTTTACCCTCTTCCTTCCGATGGGTGTCTCTACAACATGCAGACCCACGACCGACGCGCGCTCTCCCGACAGGCAAGCTAGAAAGCCTTGTAGCGCAGCCAACCCCCCTGTGTGCGGCGGCTGGCGCACCACGACGAGAAAGTAAGGCTGCGAGGCGTTCTTGTCGCTGCGTAGTCGTTTTGGGATCCTGTCCCTTTCGCGGTGCTCTTTTGCCGTCAAGATCTCGTCGTCGATGCTTTCTCGCTTCGTCGTCGGAATCCTGCGGTACCTATAATACTGAACACACCTGTTGGACCGCCAACCAACAAACGCTGCTTTCGTCCGCAAGATCGGTGACCACGCCGCGCCCCACACCCACTCTATCGCCCGAGACGTGTCCCTGGGAGACGTCCGCCGCACCCGAGCCCCGTCGTCTCGAACCCCTCGCATCAGGATCCGGCGTCATTGTTGTCCCACGCGACGACCCGACTGGTGTGTAAAAAAAAAAAATGATCTTGATTTGAGATCGCACGCTCTTCTCCCGCTCTTTGGCTGGGAATGTTGTTGCATGCATGTCTCTGTCTCTATCTCTATCTCTCTCGCCGTTGCAGGTCGGGACTCGCGTGTGCGTCGAGAAAGGGCACCACGCGACGGTGGCCAGCGTCAAGAGGTCCGCCCGGGGGTCTAACTTCGTGGACCCTTACACCGAGGAGGAGGTCGACGCGCGATACCGCCTCATGTTGAAGCCCGGCGAGGTATGTAGGTGTGGGTCGTGTGTGGGTTGTAAAACGAATGCTGCTGGGCGTCTATACTGTGGTAGTAGTGTGTACCGCCTTGTGTAGGAGAGAGAGAGTGATCCCTCAGTTTTGGATAGACTTAAGATGAGACCTAGTATTCAGTAGGTTATTTCTCCCCACTCGCTGCTGCATGCAAAGACTTCATTCAACACATGCCAGCCGCCGGGATATTTTATTCTCGAACGGTGCTGAGTCTTGTAGCATGTGTATCGTTTGATTTGATTATGTGTGTGTATTTCTTCTTAGCATTCTTAACGTCGGCCGCGCTAACCGGCTGACCAATGAAAAGACGTCAGTCTCAGTGCGGTTGAAAGCACAAAAACACTTCTAAATGCCATTAACTGGGACCCCGCGAGGGGGTGGCATGGGGAAGGCTATGCCATCCTCCGGATGAAAGACAGAAACGGTAGCAACAGAAGAAAACTGCACATGTCTACCAAGGCTGCTACCTTGCACTCGAGTTCGTTTTGGAGTGATTTCACCATCATCCTCCTTGCTTTCGCCGCCGTCACTCTCATTGACGTTTTTACAGCTGTTTTTCGGCGATTCTTCTCTAGCCCTGCGTCGTTTGTGGTGGGGAAGGTAATCTGGCTCGAAGCTCTTGCTCTCTTCCACGCCATGATTCCCTCCTCGATTGCTGTCTTGGTCTTCTCTTGTCCTCCCGTTCCGTCTCCTCCTCCTTCATCGCTACCAAATGAATTCCCCCTCATTGCCATCACCATCGTCTTTATCTGCACTTCTACTGGGATCCCAACCTATTGGCCGTCGTGGAAATTGGTCGATCAGTAGTATATGACGTTTGAAAACATCACGAGTTCGTACCGACAGAAAACGAGCCAGCGCGAAGGTAACCGTCCCCGAATCCTGTTGATATGATGAGCCTTCAGGCAAAGCAAGGCTGTTTCGTCGTCGACCTTCCCCCTGCAAAAGGTTTCGTGTGCCAAGTGGGTGGCGATAGCTGCGATTAGTCGATTGGTGCCTTGCCAAGACCACCATACGTTGAAAAGCAACAGTACGGAGGGTGGATCTAGACGGGTTGAAGTTGCCGCATTGAGTAGCGATTTGCCTTACTTACAGCTCGATGTTCGTGGGCGGATCCTGGCGTTTGGATAGACATGTCGATGCTTCGACTCGCAGTGGGTTGACGATTGTAAAATCGACAAGAATGGACTTGGTGCAGAGTTCCCCTTCTTCATCTCCGGCGTGTAATCCCGGGGGGATCACCAATTCCATCTTGTAGAACCCCTGTCCCCTACAAGTGCCTGTGGTGCATGGGGAAGAATCTTCAACTGCGACTGGCATATGGCACTCGCGTAAATTTCTTCAACACTACGCGAACCATCCTGTTGTGCAGGAAGGTTGAGGCGCCGGTCTTCGTGCATCCCACGGAGTGGGATCGGCTCAAAAGTTCCTTGCACGGTAACACTGCACCCGCCCTGCTAAAGTCTGCCTGCGTCGCAGTCAGTTCGGTCGTGACTCCCCAATACATGACCGATTGATTCACGATAAAGGTCAGGTAGCATTCGTTCATCCGCTGAAAACCCTTGCGTTGTCAGCCATCATAAAATCCCTCTTCCGTTCGCTTCCTCCAAGCGGACCAACGCCCTCTTCCTTGACGTTTCCTGTGATCCTACCTTCTGGAAGTCAGAAGGTAGGATCCAACGAAACGTCAAGGAAAAGGGCATTGATTTGCTTGGAGCAAGCAAAAGGCAAGGGAGTTGTATCGTGGCTGACAACGCAAGGTCTTTTCAGCGGATGAACAAATGCTGCCTGGCCTATATCTGTGTTTTTGTGTGTGTGAGAGAAAGAGAGAGACCGAGACAGAGAGAGAGAGAGAGCATGTGGATCTCGGGTGGCTGACGGCGCGGCGGATAGACAGACTCGTTTTTGTCGTCAATGTTTGTCCGTGCCCGTATAATAGTAGTCGTCGTCGCTATTGTTGTCATCGTTTGCTGCCGCGTTTATTTACTGCTGTACGTTGTACGCACCGCACAAAACTGAATATTATTGCTGTTGTGGTTCAGGCGACGCACAGGTCTCACTCGGCTGCAGCACGGTTGCTGTTCTCGCTGCAAGTACTACTGTTCTCGCTGCAAGTACTACTGTTCTCGCTGCAAGTACTACTGTTCTCGCTGCAAGTACTGCTGTAGGTGTGCGTCTACGGCGTAGCACGTTGCGTACCATTCCAAAACGTGTGTGTATTCGTCGCTGCTGATGTACCGTATATGACGTCAGGTACGCACCCTGTGGACCGATTTTCGAAGCTCGATTACTCCACAGCACAGAGAGTGGAGGAGCCAAAATTGGCGGTATTTCACATTTGTCGTCGACGAAAGAAGTGTACCTCTTGTCACGTTTGCGATATTTGCGCTTGGGAGAGAAAAACAGCAGATACGATTCCGTCTCTTTCATATGGGTGTCGATGAAGGCGGCGTGTGCGTTGGTTTTATAAATTAGGGGGCGCTTAATCAAAACCAACGCCGTGGTCGATGGTATCGTCAAGTTCGCTCGTTTTCAGACCCCGCCCCCCCCACGCTGTTTGGTTGGGTTTTCGTCGCTTGGTAACGACGTTGAAAAACATGCCAATCACTTCGTGAGCTCGGCAACCAGGTTATTACCGTTTTTTTTTTTTTTGAGGTAACCATAACGGTGGTCGAGTAGATCATGAGGTGCGGGGTCGAGAACCCTCACTCCGCGCAAAGGGGATGATCGCACCACGTTGTGTATAATTGGTAAAGCATCCTCGAGGCAGTTACACAGTGCTTATAACTGTTTCTGGAAGTGAAGGCACCAGAAAATAAGTTAAGTCATACGCAGCTGTCATCCGTACGCAAAGAAGTGAGCACAAGATGCCGAACACCCTTAGCAGGATGCAGCCGCACCCTTCATGCGACTCGCCGAATACCCCACGGCGCTTCGCGCTTGGTGATGTGAGAGCCTGGTCCGGTGAGAACCCGGCGTGCTCCGTCCCGGCTTTGTACGGATGCGAGGTCAACGGTCTAACGACTACGGCATGCACGACTACGAGTACCCCCCCCCCCCCCCCCCCCCCCCCCCCTCTTAGT